CAAAGCCCTGTTTCCTTTTTCCGTTTTCTGTTCTCGTTTATTGCTTTATTTTTATACTTTTATTTATGTTTTAAAATATTTTACATATATATATATATAACATTATTCAAACACACTTTTTTAAAATATTGAACAAGTATTTGAAAAATGTTGAAGAAGTATTAAAAAATGTTGAACAAGTATTTAAAATTTTTGAATAACTATTAAAAATGTTGAACAATTATTTAAAAAATGTTGAATAAGTATTAAAAATTGTTGAACGAGTATTTGAAAAATGTTGAACAAGTATTTGAAGGAAAAACAAAAAAAATAAACAAAAACCCAGAGAAAAAAAAAGAAAACATTTTCTATATATAAAGAAAACTAAACAAAAAGTGGAGAAGAAAAAAGAAAAAACCGTGAAAACAAATGGAAAAACCGGCTTCACTCGCCTCAACAAAAGAACGCGTCTCATACTTATACCGTGCGAGGCTGTGGCCGAGTGGATAGCAGCGGTAGCTCTCCCGCAGGAGACCATCGATCGAATCCCTCTTCCTTCAGCGAGAGGTCCATTTCGGGCTGGCTTAATGCGATAAATAGTGCCCGCGGTCCTAATTGGCTGATAGGTCGCTGAATAATGACGTTTTTTGTTTTGTAGGATCACTGAATAGAGACCTAGCGCATACCCTCTCGTGCGCTTGGTGGTTTGTATGGACCGACCCATTTCGGTTTTCTTCCTCACCGGGTTTGGGGAGGTTCTAGAACCTTTCATGAAATCTTTTGAATTTAAACATTGGTCGCTCGAATGTTTCTACGCTGAGTCGATTGATGGACATTGCCAACTGCTATGTGAATGGTGAAGAGGAAGATCTAATCATGAGAGAAGGGTGTGTAATGCCACCTTCCATGCATCAAATTGTAATTGACTGAGGTACAAATAGGATGTGAATTTAAGATTTGAGTTGTTTCGATAGGATCAGCCAAACCATGAATACTTACATATATAGGCTCGCTCTTGTCCAGTTTGAAGCACAAGTTCCACATGAGTTTCTGCTCTTGTGAAGCTAGCATGGAATATTGAGGCTAATTTGAGCGAATTGCATAACACAACATAGAGAACCATTACTGATTGGTACTAATTTTTGACAGCGAGCACATTGTTTTGAAATTAGACCACCTAAGAGCTAATTAGCTTAGTGATCGATTGCTGACTAATCTTTCAGTTCTGATCGAGTGCTAACCAAAATATTATTGCGTCGTCGGTTATGTTTCTTTCTAATTGATTTTCTGTTCTGAGATTTTTTTTCCATGCCATTTTTTCCAATCATACTTGAAAACAATTTCGGTTTCTAACAACAGGAGCCATATTTGACCCAAAGATATCTGCGACTCTGATTGTACATCATTATATAGGCCTAGAGAGCAACCGGGATCCCTCAGAGGCGTGCTGCCACACGTGCTTTCTGTGACGGGACCGTTCAGGTGTCCTTCAGCGAGAGGTCCATTTCGGGCTGGCTTAATGCGATAAATAGTGCCCGCGGTCCTAATTGGCTGATAGGTCGCTGAATAATGACGTTTTTTGTTTTGTAGGATCACTGAATAGAGACCTAGCGCATACCCTCTCGTGCGCTTGGTGGTTTGTATGGACCGACCCATTTCGGTTTTCTTCCTCACCGGGTTTGGGGAGGTTCTAGAACCTTTCATGAAATCTTTTGAATTTAAACATTGGTCGCTCGAATGTTTCTACGCTGAGTCGATTGATGGATATTGCCAACTGCTATGCGAATGGTGAAGAGGAAGATCTAATCATGAGAGAAGGGTGTGTAATGCCACCTTCCATGCATCAAATTGTAATTGACTGAGGTACAAATAGGATGTGAATTTAAGATTTGAGTTGTTTCGATAGGATCAGCCAAACCATGAATACTTACATATATAGGCTCGCTCTTGTCCAGTTTGAAGCACAAGTTCCACATGAGTTTCTGCTCTTGTGAAGCTAGCATGGAATATTGAGGCTAATTTGAGCGAATTGCATAACACAACATAGAGAACCATTACTGATTGGTACTAATTTTTGACAGCGAGCACATTGTTTTGAAATTAGACCACCTAAGAGCTAATTAGCTTAGTGATCGATTGCTGACTAATCTTTCAGTTCTGATCGAGTGCTAACCAAAATATTATTGCGTCGTGGGTTATGTTTCTTTCTAATTGATTTTCTGTTTTGAGATTTTTTTCCATGCCATTTTTTCCAACCATACTTGAAAACAATTTCGATTTCTAACAACAGGAGCCATATTTGACCCAAAGATATCTGCGACTCTGATTGTACATCATTATATAGGCCTAGAGAGCAACCGGGATCCCTCAGAGGCGTGCTGCCACACGTGCTTTCTGTGACGGGACCGTTCAGGTGTCCTTCAGCGAGAGGTCCATTTCGGGATGGCTTAATGCGATAAATAGTGCCCGCGGTCCTAATTGGCTGATAGGTCGCTGAATAATGATGTTTTTTGTTTTGTAGGATCACTGAATAGAGACCTAGCGCATACCCTCTCGTGCGCTTGGTGGTTTGTATGGACCGACCCATTTCAGTTTTCTTCCTCACCGGGTTTGGGGAGGTTCTAGAACCTTTCATGAAATCTTTTGAATTTAAACATTGGTCGCTCGAATGTTTCTACGCTGAGTCGATTGATGGATATTGCCAACTGCTATGCGAATGGTGAAGAGGAAGATCTAATCATGAGAGAAGGGTGTGTAATGCCACCTTCCATGCATCAAATTGTAATTGACTGAGGTACAAATAGGATGTGAATTTAAGATTTGAGTTGTTTCGATAGGATCAGCCAAACCATGAATACTTACATATATAGGCTCGCTCTTGTCCAGTTTGAAGCACAAGTTCCACATGAGTTTCTGCTCTTGTGAAGCTAGCATGGAATATTGAGGCTAATTTGAGCGAATTGCATAACACAACATAGAGAACCATTACTGATTGGTACTAATTTTTGACAGCGAGCACATTGTTTTGAAATTAGACCACCTAAGAGCTAATTAGCTTAGTGATCGATTGCTGACTAATCTTTCAGTTCTGATCGAGTGCTAACCAAAATATTATTGCGTCGTCGGTTATGTTTCTTTCTAATTGATTTTCTGTTCTGAGATTTTTTTTCCATGCCATTTTTTCCAACCATACTTGAAAACATTTTCGGTTTCTAACAACAGGAGCCATATTTGACCCAAAGATATCTGCGACTCTGATTGTACATCATTATATAGGCCTAGAGAGCAACCGGGATCCCTCAGAGGCGTGCTGCCACACGTGCTTTCTGTGACGGGACCGTTCAGGTGTCCTTCAGCGAGAGGTCCATTTCGGGCTGGCTTAATGCGATAAATAGTGCCCGCGGTCCTAATTGGCTGATAGGTCGCTGAATAATGACGTTTTTTGTTTTGTAGGATCACTGAATAGAGACCTAGCGCATACCCTCTCGTGCGCTTGGTGGTTTGTATGGACCGACCCATTTCGGTTTTCTTCCTCACCGGGTTTGGGGAGGTTCTAGAACCTTTCATGAAATCTTTTGAATTTAAACATTGGTCGCTCGAATGTTTCTACGCTGAGTCGATTGATGGATATTGCCAACTGCTATGCGAATGGTGAAGAGGAAGATCTAATCATGAGAGAAGGGTGTGTAATGCCACCTTCCATGCATCAAATTGTAATTGACTGAGGTACAAATAGGATGTGAATTTAAGATTTGAGTTGTTTCGATAGGATCAGCCAAACCATGAATACTTACATATATAGGCTCGCTCTTGTCCAGTTTGAATCACAAGTTCCACATGAGTTTCTGCTCTTGTGAAGCTAGCATGGAATATTGAGGCTAATTTGAGCGAATTGCATAACACAACATAGAGAACCATTACTGATTGGTACTAATTTTTGACAGCGAGCACATTGTTTTGAAATTAGACCACCTAAGAGCTAATTAGCTTAGTGATCGATTGCTGACTAATCTTTCAGTTCTGATCGAGTGCTAACCAAAATATTATTGCGTCGTGGGTTATGTTTCTTTCTAATTGATTTTCTGTTCTGAGATTTTTTTT